CCCCGCGCCTGCATCCTGCACGCGCCCTTGCCCTGCCTCTAATGCACAAGCGCCCCCTGCATGCTCTGTTGCGACGCGCACAGCGCAGCGCGTACAGGGTAAGCGCTGCGCGGCTCGACGCCAAGCCGCGCACGCGCGCGCGCACGCACCCGCAGCAGCAGCGCGCCGAGGCCGCGCCGCCTGAGGGCCGGCACCACCTCAATAATCTCCAGCGCGGGGCCCCAGCGCCCCAGTTCAGAGTTCTCGTAGCTCAGGAGCGCTTTCCCCACCAAGACGCCCCCCAGCCGCAGCTGCCAATAGGTGGAGAGGGCCGCGTGCATGTCTGACGGATTGCCCCCAGTGCGCCTAGTCAGCGTCAGCTCCGCTTGCTCAGCGTCTGCCTCCGCCTCTGCCTGTCCCTCGGGCCCTGCTAGCCCGCTGCCGCCGCCGCCGGCAGCAGCCGCGCTGCCGGCGCCGCTGCTGCCGACGCCGCCGCTGCTGCCGGCGGCCCCCTGCGACGGCTGCCCAGCCGACGGCTCGGCCGGCAGCTCTCGCGGGCGCCGGGCCAGCAGCCGCCGCAGCACGAGCAGGGTGGCCTCTGGCAGGCCGGCGGGCCGCTTGGTCTCCTCGTCGTGGGCGACCACGTAGACGATGCCCCTATAGATTTCTACGCGCGACATCATGCCGGTCTCATACGGCGTCATGCACTCGGCCAGCACTGTCTTGACCTCCTCAAGGTCTATGACTGGCAGCAGCACCACCATCCTCAGCACGTCGCCGTACTAGGTGTGGTTGGCAGGAGTGGGGCCCAGGCGGGGGGGGGGGGTTATGCACGTGCGCTGCGAGCCCGCAAAGCAGGGCGCAGGGTTGCGGGTGCAGACCATTGAGGCGCGCGGGCGGCCTTGGCGCGAGCCATGCAGCTGGGCGGCGAGCGGAGACGCTCAGTGCCCGCCGCCGCCAGCAATTCACCGTGCCTTCGCTTAGAATGACCGCCTGCCGCCTCATCCTCCCTCAAAGCGCCAGATTCGCAGCAGCCCCCATCCGCAGTCGCTCGGTTGCGACGCGCACGCATGTCCCCCTCACCAGCAGCACGTCCTCCATGGATGTCAGCTCTAACCACAGCGCCGCTGCGCCGCCGCCCCCCGCCGCGCCGGCCGCGCCTGCAGCCCAGCCGGCGTGCCTCCCGCCGCCGAGCGCCGCCTTGCCGAGTCCGGCCGCGCCCTCAAATCGGTGCAGCACGACCCGTTCATCATGCTCGCTAAGCGCCTCCAGGAGCTCATTCGCCCCGCGCCCCTGCGCATTGGCCGGCAGCCGCCACGACGCCGCGCCGGGCGGCACGCGCAGGCTGAACTTGGCGCACAGCGCCCGCTCAAGCTCGCCGAGGAGCTTGGCCATCCTGCGGCCCTCGATGCCAAAGGGCAGGCGGCAGAAGACCGTGGATACGCCCGCGGCGGGCTGGGGGTTGGTGGTGCCGCCTGCAGGCGGGCGCCGGAGGCAAGGCTAGGCGTGAATGCTGTCCCATCAGGAGTTGGGTGACGCCAGATGTCCAAGAACGCCAGAAGCACTCTTGTTGCTTGCATATTATTCCTTGTTGGCCTTCTGAGTCCTAGGAGTTTGACTCTGGTCTGGCCCTTATCAGATGACTGGGGTCAAGAGGTGGTCAAACGTGGACCAAGGAGTCGCTATGAACACTGGCTGCGCCACCCCACCTCATGTACCCTACAGGCAATAAGATCCGCCTCCATCTCACCCTCGCAGTAGTCCCGGGTGTCCCACTTCCACAACTGCTTGGGGTCGTGCGCCGACGCCGCCTCGTGGCGCGCCACGATGCAGCGGCTGCGGATGAGGCCGGGGTTCCTGGGGCAACGCAAAGATGCGCAAGCACACGTGGAAGGGGATAAGGAGAGTCTGTGCAGGGTGCTGGCAAACTTTTGTTGCAGCCACAAACGACAGGGCGCGTGTTGATCAATGCAACACCCCCAGGCATCCCGATGCACCGGTGAGTAGGAGAGACTGAGACTGAGAGTCAAGCCTGGGGGCCCCTCACTTTGTCATGCGTTTTACCACTGCTTTCATGAACGTGAGTGCTGCCTCGTGGTGGGCCTTGACCTCTGGCCCCAGCTCAGACTTGCTGCGGAAACATGTGTGTGTGTGTGTGTGTGTGTGTGTGTGTGCGCGCGCGCGTGCGCGCGCGTGCGCGCGTGTGTGCGAGTGTGAGTATGTGTGTGTGTGGGGGGGGGATTTGGTCGAATTAGTGGCGACCAACGCCCGCTGATGAGCTCATCAGCCTTGGCCAGTTGCTGCGCCCGGCGCCGTGGCGGTGCTGCTACGCATCCAGATCGCCGTGGCACGGCGCTGCGCGGTCCAAAACGCGTCTGAGCGTCGCCAGGCTGCCGCAATGTGCGCCGCAGCCAACACGTACTGTGTGCGTGTCATGCATGCTCGTGCATGCCGCGCGTGCCGCCGCCGCCGCGGCGCACCCCATGGCCTTGAGGGCTTCGACCACGATCTCTGCATCAGCCAGGACCATCTCATGCAGCTCCATGCGCCTGAAGCGGCTGCCCGCGCGCTCATACGCCAGCGGGTGCCCGTGCGGCCGGCTGGGGTCCGCCGTGCGGGCGCTCAGCGCCGCGAGCGCCGCGGCGAAGGCGTTTATGAAAGACGGGTCCGACACAGCGTCCAGCGCTGAGGCCGGCAGCTCCTGGGTTTGGGGCGAGGCGGGGGCACGGGCGCGTTTCGGTGCGAAGGCGTGGGGACGCCAAGTATGGGGTGCCCCACATAAGGCAACTGCTGACGACTGCTGCTGAGTCGGCAGAACAAGTCGAGTGCATGTGCGTATGTAACAGAGACACTGGTGCGAAAGCATGCTTACAAGCGGCATACGCCCACCTCTGGCCGGCAGTGGAAGACTGTCTTGAAGGAGTCCAGGTCGCGCTGCATGCGCTCGCGCGGCCGCGCGACGCCGTCCGTCGCGCGCCGCGCCGCTATGAACTCGTACGTCGCATGCCACTGCGCCATGGCGTCGCGTGCCGGGCAGCTGGGTTCGCAGCAGGTGCGTTCGCACCGCACGCAGGACAGGAAGTGGCCGCGGTAGTTGAGGCACCCAGCGCCGCCGAAGGGGTCCTCGCCTGCGCCCCAGGCGACCGGGCGCGCTTGAAACGCGTTGCTAGGAACGTTACTGTATGACTCCGATCCTTCCGGATCAATAGCTGCTTCGAGCCATTTGAGATCCGCGGTGGCCTCCTCCAGGTCATCAGGCGCGGCCATGGTGTCGATCTCGGTCGGGACGCAGTGTGAAGGCGACAGTACGGTTGAAACAGGTCGAGTTGTTGTGGAGCACAACCCACCTGTGATTTACGTTGTCCTGGAACACCACTTGTCACCAGACCTGCTTGTCGCGCGTGGACCGAAACTCGGACCCACTACGAAGTGACAGCCGCCCTGCGACAATCCAAGCATTGCTTCCCTTGAGACAAATGACATTGCCACAGTGACACAGAACACAAGTTTGTCATTGATTGATGGACCATTTATAGTTTGAAAGGACTCACGGTGAAGAGGTCTCGCACTTGCGCAATGTACTGTAGATGTTCTCAAACCAGCACAGCTGCACCAATGCGGCCGGCTGGCTTCATGCCAGAGCGTGTGACCCGCCGTTTGCATCAGTGTTGGACCACAAACATGCAATCAGCTGCAAGCCGCCGTAGATTGGCCGAGGCCTGTCGCATGCCTGGCTGTTGAGAAGCGGATGTCAGCACCTCTTCTTGTGGGCGAGGCACACGATTTCGAAACCCTCGTTTCAACTTGCACCAGATCCTCAACATTCATACAGCCCTACAAATCGGCCTGAGAGCCACCAGCCAACTCTGAAACCTCCACTCTTATCATTCCTGAACCTCAGCTTTTTTGGCAGGACGGCTGTGTGTGCGCGTTGCGCACTCCATTCGCTGGTCCCCTGATGGCACACGCAATAACGCTACCCCAGCCGTGCGGGACGGATTGCTGCACCCATTGCAGGAGTAGGAGGCACTGCCCTTGTTGTGTTTCCAGTGCTCCTCATGAATGTTTTCCTGCGGGGCTTGCTGCCCAACTGATGGAAATGCACTGATCTTGACTTACACGACTGCCACCAACGTGTTCGAGGCAAGCAGTGCAGCAGCAAACTGTGCAGTGGCAGAGATCTTACCACTGCCAGGACTTGGGTTGGTGAGGGTGTTCAGGATATACACATACAGTACCCGAGGGTCAACACAAGTGGGCCTGCTCTGCGGTAGCTGGCCAGTCTGTGAGTGGCATAGAATCCGAGGTTGTCGGCGGACAGCCCTCAAAAAATGTTGTGCCCCCAGAGATCCCAAACGTATTTTGTGAAGGCTTGCAGCAGCGTACGCACCAGTCAGACAAGACTGTGGGCTGCGGTGCACAACTGAGGGTCAAAGAACCTTTAATCAGGAGGCCGTTCTTGTACACGCGCGTATGTGCGCAAACTCGCACACCTGATCTCTGTCATACACCGGGCATTGCCTGCTGAGATTGCACAATAATCCTGCGCACTTAAGGTGGCCCGTGGCCGCCCGCATGCACGCTGATGGCTGCATGCACACACGAAGCCTCTGCAGTGCACAAGGTGCTAGTGGCAGTGATGTGGCTTGCCAAGAAAGGCGTGGACGCCCGGCACGCATGTGTTGCGGGACAGGCCGTCAAGCCCGGCGTGAAGGGTTTTGGGTGCGAATTGAAGTCGCTTTGAGGCCGCTCGCGGGGGCGGCCGGGAGTCCCGGGAGTGAGGTCGTCGACGTGGGTGCGGCCCTTGGCAATGGTCAAGGGGCGCTGCGTGCAAGGCCTTCGCTGATTTGACTGCAGTCAGCGTCGGCAAAGCCGAGGCGCTTGGCTCCGGCCCAGTCGAACTCGAAGGTGGCGTCTCGCATCATGATGCTGCGAGGGCGGGGCCAGGTGAGGAGGTGCAAGGAATCTTCAGCCGTTTATCCTGGAGAAGAGCGGCTGGCACAGCCAGAGAACCACAAGACAGGGTGGCCTGCAAGGAAGCCGTGCGCCTGTCTTGACAGAGGCACGCACGGCAGCTAGACGCAACATGCCCAAATACAAATCCTGGGCTCTTCCAAGTGCATGTCTCTAGTGCATGTGCCCACCCCACCAAGCAGCCGGGGGGATTCTCCTCCACCCCAGTCTCAATACTCACGCTCCGAGGATGCTCTCCTCCTCGCCATTGAAGATTCCGAGGCAAGCCCTGACGCGTGGGCCCCTAGGTGTGGCCCCCTTGGTCCTGCCAGTCACGTGAACGTACCGCTGCGGCGGCAGGCCGAGCCTTGCCCCGCCGCGGAACACTAGCTCGAGGGTCGGGAAGATCGCGCCCAGATCATACTCGGTTTTGATCTGATCTATGCCTGGCCCAGACAGGCTCCAGCACCAGTCGCCGCGATCTCTGCCCTCTGAGATCTCGTCTACGTACACGCTGCCCGCCCTCGGCCCAGGGCCGGACGCGTCTGGCTGCTGAGGGGACGTCTGAAAGTATGACATCATGTGGTCGTCATCAGAGTACGCGTCTGAGGCCGCGGCGTTGGGTGCGGCGCCCTCAGGCGGCCGCGGCCGCGCCTGCCGCAGCCCGCGCGCGAGCAGCCGCCGCAGCAGCAGCCGCCCGAGACCCAGGCGCCGCGGCGCGTCGGGGACGGCGCGGGGTGGCGGCGCGAGCGGTGCGAGCGCGGTCTTCAGCTGCTGCTTGAGGGATTCGAGGACGTCGGATGCCAAGTAGGTGAAAGTGGAGCCGCTGTCAACGATGATTGTGTGGAGTGTCACTCCTGCATCGTCCCCCACACCTTTTGGAGGGCTCCACGCGCTCTGCATTTTGGGGGCGTGGCGGTCCGAGGGACGCAGGTGGACAGGGGTGCCAGGCAGCAGGTGTTTGGTGCTGTCAGGCGCGTGGCACAGGGCGACGCAGCGGCCCGTTCGGCCCGATGGAGCAACTCCCGTACCAGCTGTGCCACTAACCGCAGCCGCCCGCCCCTCCTCGATCCCTTCGCAATCCTGAGCAGTGCCCTGCATGAGCAAAGACGCACTACTCAACCCCCTCTCTCGCCACGCGGTGCGGGCGTGTGCGTCCTCGCACCCAGCCTCAACACATGCGCACCTCTGGCACGTCCAGTTTGTTGCCGTTCACAAGCAGCCCATGCACTGGCAGCTGGTAAAACCCCCGGCCAGAGGGCACCAACGGCACGTACTGCACCGCCCCCGCCCCCGCCGGCCGCGCCGGCCGGCCCAGTGCCATCGCGCCGCCGCGGCGGCCGAGGCAGAGAGTGTAGGAGCCGGGCGCCGCGCCGCTGCCGCCGCCAACACGGGCGGCAGCAAGCTGAGCTGGCAGCGCGGCTGGGCCGTAGCTGAGGCCGGCGACGCCGTCAGCTTTTTGGGTGTACAGCTGGCCCTGCCAATTTCGCGTGTTGTGTAGAAGCAACAATAGGCTTGAGTTTGCTGCATGAGTGGGGCGTGGATGCTGCACAAGGCCCGTGCTTCTGCATTTCTTTGATGAGAGGCAGATGGCGACGGCAGCCTGGCCGGAGCTGGCACGCGTTCTGCCTGGGACGAGCGGGTTCCTTTTACGCCACACGAACCCCAAAGCGACTTTTACGCTGCAACCGGCACACACGAACAGCCGCACCAGAATCGTGCCTCTGTTCAATGCCTCCACCTGTGCAACAAAGTCAACCCCTGGTGCCAACGTGCGCGCTTGACGGGGCATCTCGCCCTGCAACGATCACGGGCCCCGCCTACCGTAACAAACTTGGCGCAGCCAAAGGTGAACCTGGGAAGCACCTCGGGCGTCGCGTTGCCCGGCCGCGGCAGCAGCAGCGTGTCTTGCATCACCTGGCCGCCGCTGGAGCTCCCTTCAGCATACATGTTGTGGAACTGACCGCGGGGTGCAGGGACGCAGGGTTGCATGTCAATTGATGGAACGTTCGCGTGCTCACATACGCACAGGCACACGCACACACGCACGCACGTATGCACACATGCGCACGCACGCTCACACGCACGCACGCACGCACGCACGCACGCACGCACGCACGCACGCACGTATACACACTCACACACACACAAGCTTGCACGTGTGTCCGTGTCTGTATGTGTCTGTGGGGGCACGCGAACTATGCGTATGCGCTCATGTGCTGTACGTGGTAGTACGCATGTGCGATGGCAGTGTGCATATGTGTGTGCGCGTGTGCTTCGTTGCATGCTGTGTGCTTCTCCAGGCGCTCTTTGGAGGTGATGCAGCCGGCAACTCGTCCCCTGCGCCGAGCGGCCAGGACAGCCATGGCAGGTGAACGGTGCACGCCCACCGTGGGCGTGGCTTGTGACAAGCCGTGCACGTACTCAAGCCTCGCCGCGGCGCTCGCGCCCAGCCCCACCTGGCAGCTGGCGCCGGCCGGCTTCGTGCCGCAGGAGGCCTTCTCTTTAGGGCATGACGGGTTGGAGCATGTCAAATTTGTGGCGGTGGATGACGCTGCAGGGTCAAATGGCTGGCTCTGCACAGAATTGAAGCCAGGGTTGGGGCGGGGGACGGGGTAGGCTGTGGGAGTTGGGAGCGGGGGTTGGGGTTGGTTGAGGCACAGGCATGTGACAAACACACGTGTGGGGGGCAGAAAGGCCGCCAGCCATCGGGCCAAGCGGCAGCGCCTGCGGGTTGGCAAACGCTCGGCCCGTCGATCTGCTGCGCAGCCGCCAGCCTCGGGCGCGGCCGGCTGGCGGGCTGGCTGGCTGGCTGACGGCAGCGCGGTGCTCCCCATGATGCCCTCGTATTTTTCCCAGGGCTAGTACCGCCTCTTCCCTCCCTTTTCCCCTCGCAGGCTTGAAGACACCCCTCGGGACGATTTCAGCCCGGCCAACTACCCCCCCGCAACCAACCAGCTGTCCCTGGTTTTCAACGACCCCCCGCACCAAATGATACCCGCACTGGCACGGCTTGCACGGCACGACCGTCAGGCTGCTGCCGCTGTCAAGGATAAGGTTGAAGGACTTTGGGGGCGACCCAACCGACAGGGAAGCTGTGTAGTAGCCGAGCCTGGTGCCGCCGTCCACCACGTACGCGTCGCTCGCGCCGGTTGCGTCCGCGCCGGCCTCTCGCAGCAGGCGTGAATCGCGGGTGCCGCGCCCGCGCGCGCCGCGGATGCCGGCTCGGGGGCCGGACTCCAAGCGCAGCGGCGCCCACGCGGCGGCTGCGCTGGCGGGCGGCGGGCCGGCGGCGCGCGGCGGGGCGACCCCGGCG